GTATGTATGTATGTATGTATGTATGTATGTATGTATGTATGTATGTATGTATGTATGTGTGTGTGTATGTATGTATAAGGATCTTCTTTACTTTCTGCGAAACAGACATCGCTTCATAGCTAACATATATATATTCTGTTTATTGGGTGTCAGCTTAATAGTCAACGCTCTCCGACTTATTCTGCTTGCTAAGTACCTTACTTACAGCATAATAAAATTACATTGACATCGTGGATGCGATTTTTCACCATCTAGCACAGTGCGTTTAAAGTGGGAACAGACTCTCCTTGCTCTTGTAGCGACTTATCAATTCAGCAAATATATCAGAGCTCTGAGCGCCATACGCTTTAATTTGCATTGTTGTACTTGCTGGGATATTAAGTACGAGCAAAGACTTCTGAAGAACTCCATTGTATAGTCGCATTCTCCCATTTTTCATAATCTGAGTTGTCTTGATATAGTTTCACGAGAGCTTGTCATTGCTTATTTTAAATGAAAAAATATCTGTTTGAGTGCACCTGGATTTTGGTTTTTTGGATTCAAGCTTTGACATTTTTTATTTTGTGTTTGTATATGAAGCTGTATAAAGTGTTCCACGTCAACCTTAGCCTCATCCAGGTCGTAAGGTTCTGCACGAAAAGCCCGTTCGATAAATGGATGGTTATCTTATGCTGGTCACGCTCACTATTTTGGGCCCGAGACTTACAAGAAGCTTGTAAATGCATATGATACTGTCAAAGGAACGGCTTTACACATGCCTCATGGTTATGTGTTACGTACGCGTCAATCTGGACTAGATGAAGTGGCTTTTGGTGAAGTCTTTGCAATGAAATCAAGTCTCTGGGAAGAAATCATGAACGTTCGCAAAAAATAATGCTGGCTGTGTAATGGATACTGTTGCCGATATTAATGCATCAGAAATGGATGGGCTTAGTCAAGAAATCTAAAGGGGATTAGGCAAGTGACTGGAGCTGACATGGCCGATCCTCGTCGTGTTCGCCGCTTAAAGCGAGGCGGCATCATACTGGCTTAAAGCCAACGCGAAAGAAGAATCAATATTAATGTCCCCGCTATCTTTATATCGCTTGTATGGGATAAGCTTGTCCAACCGCGAGAGCTTTTTACAAAGTCTCGATCGCTTTTCAGAGATGTCGACAGCTATTTCAAACATGCCTATGGTGGTGCTCGCTCCACGCGTTATTGGCCCCGCGATCAATCTTAGTTCCTTTAGCTTATTGACAAAGTTAGCAATGCCTTCAGTGCTAGCAGTTGTCATTGAATCATAGATAGGGTTGCGGACTAAGGTATTTGGCTTGGGGCTGGCAAACTGATTCAAAAATAATATATGTAGAATTTGTTCATCTCATTCTCATTCTTGATCACATCACCAATCAGTTTGCCATAATTGACCTTGTTATGCTGTTCCGCTCGATCTACATCATACGTTGTCATCTTGTCTACGACGATGCCGGTCCAGTTGTCAGAAGCACCACTAAATATAGTGATGTCGCCGTGGACTTCCTCTTCATAGTAATGATTACGGCCCGATTGTACGGAAGCAGTGATCACAGACTTCATTCGCTCAAGACAATTACGAAGAGTGTGTTAATAACCGCAATTCCCTCAAACCAGCACAATTTTATGAGGTATATGTGGCAATCCACGCTCTCCAAAATCCCATTGGTGAGATGCTGCATGCAAGAATTTACCGTTTCTGGAAGACTCGTATGCAGCTTGAAGAAGTTGGACTTGTCAATCCGCCTCTCCATTGTATAAAAGACTAGCATAACATTCTTCCTGCTGTCTGGAGACTGGCAAAGACTACCGATATACTCCATCAACCACTGGTACCTCTCGGAATGATTGAAGCAATAATACGCTTCAGTTACTGGGTGCAAGTCAGATTCGGTATTTTTCTGTGAAGAATCTTTGCCAATAGTAGGTTTGCCAAGCTTAATCTGTTCATATCATATGGATCATGCTCCCATTTGCAGACAATATTTGCGAATTTTTGGAATGGAACCGTGTTGAAAAGGTCAGACAGCTCGGTGGAAAGTGGCTGTTTGTTTTTAATGAGCTTAAGTTGCGTGTCAAAGAAGCTCTTTGATCATGAACATTGCTTACAGGATTATCGTCCTCTGTCGGCTTGCTGTTATAGCAGGAGATACCGGATCCTTCAAAGATGTAGGACTCATGAATGAAGTAGAGCACCAATCGTTTCCGTTAATGAAGAGACTCGAAATTGGTAGATTTTTCCAACATCTTCTCGAAAGTACTGAAACTTATATTAAAGGTCACGATTGGGTTTGTTTTTGATCGCTAGATACTTTGGTGCAAACGTGTCGATCTCGAATGATACATCAGTCATGGCTGAACGCAATTCATGAATTGCTAGAGCAGTTAAATCCACCAAATGAGGTCGTGTTGCCAACTTCCACTCAGATTTGATAGTCAATTCGAGATCTTGATCAAGATTAAATAGCTCGAATGTCTTTAAAAGTGGTTGTTTTCCGCGGTTCTTTGTCTTCATAACCATCCTTACATAGCTTTAATACAGCAGAAACACCCTAGGATTTCGTTGCAAGGAAGTATTCCTGTCATAGACTACACTAGCCATTACAAGAGGGTACATCTATGTATCTTCTGGAAGCATTGTGGAAATTTATAAAAGAAGATCACAGGACGGTGTTCCCAAATGCATATGAGACATCTTATAAGAAGTCACAAACATTCTATGTGATACAGAATGCTGGTTCTTACGTGAAGATGTCTAACTGGTGACGAGACCGACGTGTCTCTGTCTTTCGAAGTAGGAGGCGTAAGTAAGTCTCGTATACTAGATACTTTTCATGAAAGTTGGTGCTCAAATCTTTTTAAGTTCAAGCTCCGTACACCTATGATCTTGTATAAGCTGAATTTGAGGGTTGAACCTTGATTTATAGATAAGGATCCCAAGGTTTTATCATTAAGACCTCTTCGAGCCCTTGGGTATTTTGCATGAAGCTAGGGACCAATAACTCATTTAACTCAGTTGCAAATTTGCTTTCAAGTATTTGAGTCGTTTTTTTCCCTCCAAGTCGGAAATTTCCTTCTCTCTTGCGGGTCCTATGAGGAGTTGGGCGTATGGTAAGCGTTTGACCGATCTCAAATGCTTTTTCGGCTTAGAACACCTCAAGATCGATCTGAAGAAGGCATTTTAACCACCACAAAGTGCGTTTGCCACCCGTGCCAATTTTTTTAAGCTGGGTTAAGGTCGCGACGATATACACTCGTATGCACAGCGTGATCGCTACGTGGTGTAGAGCATTTTCGACGTGTCAATTAACGTTTCAACGCAAATTGTAATGTTCATGACAGACTTAATGATGGCTCGATCCAGAAACAACTGCTCCGTGTGTATCGCAAGGTGCTGAACGATGCCATCAACCGAGCGATGCAAGAAGACTTCAGCATCAAGCAAGCCAAGTTCAATGGCCTCGTACCAACGCAAGCGCATCAGTCGGCTGATGCAAATGATGGTCCAGAGCCAATGGACATCTCGTAAATTTCTTCACCCGAATTCGAGCGTCCGTACAACGATGAAGAGTCTTTTTGTTTTGAAGAGTTGAATCATAATGCTCGGAAATGCATAGTGCCTCTGCCGAGTCGGCAACAGAAACAGGGTGCTTGTTCGGAAATTGCGGATGCTATATGGGTCGTTGATTTTAAAGCTTCCAAGGGTAAGATTATGAGAGCGACCAGTAAAGGGCGGTGCTCCCTACTGGACTTAAAAAGAGTACTGTGGATGCTGTGGATACACATAACACTGACCCTGATGTGCATGATTCACATGCAGTTTCATCTATAATTGATAGAAGTGTCAGACGAATTGTGACTCTGTTTGTCCAGAAAGTCTTTGTAGATGGTTTTGAGAGACCTCTTCGGGCTTTGATTGACTTTCGTGCGTCGAAAAACTCTGTTCGAGTGCTAGTTGTGACTGGGCATGGTGTTAGCCATTCATTCAGCAAATGAATCGACAATGACGATATCAAAGCGAATCATTCGCTTGGCAGTGGATTTTGAGAATTTTCGAGGGGAAGACGAGTTTATTATACTAAACCCCGATCATAAGTTTGATGTCGTCCTAGGTATGACATGGTTGAAGCCTTGTCAGCCTAGCTTTGACTACATGAATGTGATGATCGTCGTCAACAAGTCGTGCAGCACTCCTTTGAGCTGCATGACGACGAAGGAAGTGGTATGAGAATATGCTTCTGTTGAAGAAGTCACAGATGTTTTTAGTGGCATTGTGCTGTGCGATGCCCCCCCACGTTTGCGTGACAAGCCTAAGAAGCCGAAAGTAAAGACACCAACTGGAGGTGGAGCAGTCAGGCGCCAGAAAAATTACCTTTTTTGCCAACTTGGAAGTAGAGATCGATGGTAGTATGAAGAATAATGAGATCAGTGGTAAAGCTCCATCCCGAGAGAAGAATAAGAAGGCCACCAAGAGACTTTTCCGTCAAGTAGTTTGCGTGCCTCTTATCAAGGTACATAAGGGCGTATCCCGCTAGCGCTTTTGCTAGCATTCAGAGCTCATGCTACGATTCCCACGAGCGGTATGGAGTTACTCGATCGCTGCTCTTCAAGCAATTTCTGATCAGTGTTGTTCTGAGGGGTCAGAAAGCGCTCGTTGCCTATTACACTCTTGTTTTGCTGCTTTCTGAGCTGAATACCCGCATGCATAACCGTATAAGACCCCACTCCGGCGCGGCTAGTATTTTATAACGAGCTGAGTTCATTATTACGACGCTATTAAATTTTATGCAACAGTCGTTACGACTCTTGCGCTTACAAACATACTAGATTGATATACCAAGTTAGGTCGACCTTATTGATAGCAAAGTGAACGTCATTTTGAGCGAGGCAAAGAGTCATGTAGCGGAGTGGCAGAGAGTCGATAGCACCTTATCTCATTGAATGGCTCTTCCATAAGTCTTTCGGTCAGGACGGAAATGTCAGACCGGGAATCGATTTCACCATAGCCGTTCTCATCATTAAAACGTAGGCATCTCTACGTGAGTGGCTATCAGATCGTTGGCAACACTAAGAGAGATCGTTGGGAGCTTGTTGAGCCACGATATAGGGCAGGGAGAGGCGTATGTAGGCATTGCTAGGTAAAAGTGGCGGAGCAAAACTTCTTAGACCAACGAGTGCTCGTGATACGCTTAATTTTGATTAATGTTTTGCAAGACAAAAATGAGTGTGTATTCGAGTGTTGTCTTGAATTACCGAGAAACGTGTAACATGGTTAACACCGTAACAAGGTGCACATACGCAATACATTTCTGTGCAATTGCGCAAACTCAAACTTACAAAGTATTGGTACTGATGAGGGCAATAGCCATGCCGAAAGGGTCTGTGAAACCTGCACAGTTAGCCTCTGATCATGCAGCCCACATAGATTTATCGGTGAGCCTAACAAACAGTCAGATGCTATATGAGTCCAATTCAAAACTTAGTTATAAGTACATATATCTCTCGAAATGCAGAGCGATTGAAGTGCCTCCTTACTTTATTGGAACTTGATTGAGCGTTTGAACGTGTGAGCCTATCCAATGTGCGTTTCTTATACAGAACTCGCTGGGTCAAATTTAACTATTTGCAAGATTTTGCACAACCCCGTTGCAAAATGCAAGTTAGACATATTTCAGGCAGTGATGTCGGTTGATGACCAGCCTGAACAGTGTGACTTGGATTGGGTGAATAGCTCTGTCCTAATCCTCAAATTCTTAGCATTGATCAGCAACATTAATGAGGTCTACAAGAGAACGTGTCGCTTTAGACGGTAAGCACCCAAATTGCGAAGCTGTGGGCTTCTGGCTGCGACCCTTATCGGGTATTGGGCCTGGAAGTCTGTGCGATCAAACTACACAAAAACGACAAGTGCTTTGCTGCCGATTGTGCCTTGAGGCTCGTGGATCTCCGCCTCGTAACTGCCATGTGAGTGTGATGCCAGGGCTTTGTACTTAGAATTGCTCGAAGTGGTTTAAGCCGGGGGTAATGTGTCGCATCCTGACAAAGCAAAGCCTTCATCAGCTTCACTAAACAATGGTGTCGGGTCAACCTTTAATCTTGGGAAATTAGATATCCCCCACGCGATGAACCCAGTAAAAAAGAACTGGAGTCCTCGAAGAATACTTATGGTGGATGCTCTCGATCGTTAAGCACGAACGTTGGTGTCCTAACAATCTCGGGGATATCAAAACTCTTCAGATACTATTTTCTTCAATCGACGAATATGACTCGTTCCAGATCTACCACACGAGTAAAACAGACATTTTCGTTTGGTGCTTGATATACTCATTGCGCAGAAAATAATTTCAATGATTTAAATAGAAAAGGAAAGCCAACGACCATGTGACCCCCAGCGCGCATTGCAAGCAACACTTGACCGATTAGCAGAAAACGTATAGATTGATGTTCTGACAATAATATCGGACAAAGTCTGCATTGTACATTCTCCGACGCTTTCTTCAAAGCAAGCACTCAGCGATAATACGTGAGGCTATACGCAACAGCCAAAAGTCGACCTCATGCCACGAATAACTTCAAAATATTCTGATTGTACAAACAAATTTGCAACAAAATTACAATTAGTTATGGCTTCTTGGGTGTACGGAGCTTGAACATTAAAAATGTTAAGCTGCAACTTTCATGGGAAGTACTCAGTATACGAGAACTTGCTTACTTTCAAAAGACGGAGTCACGTCGCCCTCGTTACCAGTATAGATCCCCAAGTAGGAACCAGCATTCTGTATCACGCAGAATGTTTGTGACCGCATATAAGTATAAGATGTCACATATGCATTTGGGAGCACCATACTGTAATCTTCTTTGTTATTGACTTTCACAATGCATACAGAAGGTACAGGCTAGTGTAGTACATCATCCCATCTTCAAGTCAAAAGTACTTTGATACTTTTGCAGGCCTTTTGGAGCAGTTCACGTTCCGTTCAACAATGAAGCAGTTAAGTGACCAGGCCGGCATCAAAGAGTTTTCTCGCCTAGACAGCAAAATTGATTTGCTAGCGTTGGATCAACAGTCGTGATTATCCAAATCAATACATCGCAACTAATCTTGACTCTTGGTGGTGATTTGTTTGCCATGACAAAATGAAGCGTCTGCTTCGCTTCGCATAGTCGGCGCTGGCAAGACTCCCAGTCACAACCGAGCACAACCTAGCTCTGATTGATGTAGTGTTTCTTTAGCAACACTGCAAGCGATTCTCGTAGCTGCGGACCACTTTGGAGACATCAGACTATAAAGCCTGACGAGGTTCCCGCGTGTCTGAGGTCGATGGATAGCCGCACCACCAAACTCCAGAACCGTTGAAGTTCAACTGCTTCTTTTCACGATGACGAGATGATCGATCCTCGTCGCCGACAATCGTCTCGAACACCCGACGACGCTCTCCGCAAGACTGTATCAGTAGAGGTTGAATCGAACGTGAAAACGATTGCGCAACTCCGAAAATGAAAGAGAACTCATCACGGGTGAATTGAGGCATACAAGCAGTGTTGCTCGACGCTTCACGATCGCTGCAAGAGTCTTTCAAACCTTGTTCTGAAACAAAACTCGAACTCGACGTACTGATTGATGGTTTCGCCCAATGCTCGACTTTGAAGCCCCGGTTTGAGCTACGGTTTTAACAGGGTCATGATGGGGTTATTCGACTCCGGAAGGACGAAAAACCTCAGGGAGGACAAAAATTTTCGTGAGATGGCTCACGAACACCTGTCGCGCTATGTTGAAAGGTTAGGTTCTGCTCTCGAGGAACTCCGTGGTGATAAGCTTTCGTGCATTCAAGCGTTGAAAGCAGTGAAGAAGCAATCCTTTGGTGTCCGTCAACGCTCGTACGCCGCGAGGAATCTCCAGGGTGAAGAGCTGGTTGCTCTTCGTGGACAAAAAAAAAGTTATCATCAGATCAATCATCTACTTAAAATAGAGTAGGATCGGCAGATCTACTTGGACGATACGACTTTGGCCTTCCCGCATAATATGTAGGATATAGGCGCATGCGTGTTAGGATGGCTAATGTAAACGCATCACCATCACTTTTCATCACATTAAACGGTCCAATGACTCTTGGTAAAAGCTTTCTGCTTTTTGAGGTGGACACTGCAAGTCCAGGCAGATTTGTCGTGCTAAGTAGTACAAGATCATTTACCTTATATACCTCTTTGATGTTTCTTCTGCTCTTATCTGCTTGTTCTTTGTGCAGATCCTTTTGCAATTGCGTCTCGGACAAACCGAGCGGCTTGTCTCTTCACGATAAAGTCACTGACGTGCTGTTCCTTACGACTTGTCATGCCGTCTAGAGGTCTTGCGACTCAAAATTCGTTTTAAACTCTGTGAAAGCATTAAGGTCTGACCGTGGTTCGCTCCCCACCTAAGGTAGAGTTCTTGCCCATTATGGAAACAGACATTCCAGGATAGACACCATAATTTAACAGTATGTAGCGAATGACAGGTCAAGACATACGTGGATTTGTTTAGAGCAAAACCTTTAGGATGGGATTATTGATCTCTGAACGACGTAGCATAACTATGCAGTACTTCCTCCAAGTCCTAAATACACGCTCTGTTTGACTGTTCATTTCAGAATGTGCCGCTGTTATCATGGACAATTTGGTGCACAATAGCCAAACAGTGCACGCTCAAAATTCGACGTAAAACAGGTGTCACGGTCAGGCATGACCCCAACAGGAAAGCCATGCACGCGAAAACAACAATGTCCACAAGGCTTTAGCTGTCTTCTATGCAGCTATCTTGTATTTCATTAAATCGTTCCACTAACACTGCGCCCATGTGTGGCACGTGAAATCCGAATATGAAGTCCATACTAACAGATTTCCAGACTGCCAACGACCGAAGTGGGGCCTGAGTGGAACCCCATATTTTCACTCTATGGCAAATTCCAGATGTCTTCACATACTTGCAAAGCCAATTATGACTTAGTGTCCAATCTCAAATCCCGGGAAAGATTAAGAAACATTTTCTTAAGTTCAAGATGGCTACTCGAAGGGCTGTCGCGGTACTCATACGAGAGACGAAGACGCAAACCTTCGTCATTTGGAGCAACAACTCTTGCTCCAAAACGATGAGCACACGACCTTGTACGAGACGAAAGGCCTTGTATTGCATTGCGAAAGGGTCCTTGAAATTCATCAACAAGTCCTGACATGTCCCTTCGACCATTTTTGCGCACTGAAGTCATTGCTTGCACTCTGATCTTCTGAACATCTTCGCATTGTCATGTTGACTCCTGCATATTTTTGCTCCTGGATATTGATATATACTCCGGACGTCTTGACAACGCATCGGCTAAGATTTTCGTCCTGTCTGGCTTGTAGTGTACAACAAAGTTGTACTCCGCAAAAAGCAGGAAAATATCCAGCTTCTTTGCGATCGAGGAGTCTATACTACCGTAAGCATTAAAGCATGATCTGTATAGTGAGGCATGATCTGTAAATATCGCAAAGCGATCATTTCCAGGCAAGTACAACCAAAGCATACTTCATTGCTAGAAGCTAGACCTTATATTCGGAAAACAGATTGTCGTTTGCGAGTGTAGCTTAGCCGCCATACCGGCTATAAGAATTAGCAGCGTCAAAACATAGCTCACTAAATCTCATTCTTTTGGCGGGTGAACAATTATCTGACTGTACAAAATAAGCTTGATTAAGTGGCGCGGGGGATTTTGTTCGCGGATGTACCTAACGTTTGAGCTGATTCTCGAGCGACCCCCTAGAGCTCAGTCCTTAGTAACCAGAGGATAAAAATTCTCACTTGTCCGTCAAAATGCTCGACACTCTACAAAGCCGCATCGCTTTGTCAAACTATGTGCCTGTTGCGCTATTATGGACGTGAGGTTGTGACGTTCCATAGGTGTCACATCAGCACATTTTATCATCCAAGGAATGCTTCCAGATAATTTTACTTTCTTCCACTTGTATCGCCTTGGACAGAAGTCTCTCAGACTGCAGTAATTTTACTACAGCAGCATCTCTGTGTTCGCGGTACTGATGGACCGAGTGGTACCCCCGACTCTTTCCATGTTGCTCGGTCAAAGGCAAGAGTACAGCTGTGACAGGAATGCGCGACGTGCTTGACATCCGCGACGTCATATCAAAATTGAGATCGTTATAAGACCGCACTAAGTTACACCAGGTGTAAGAGGGCGCAGTTCACAAACAGTCCCTCAAACACACCACACATGCTTGTGCGACGAGTAAGCGATCCCCGACGTGGTGGGAGAAGAACAGTCTCGACTCTAAGGGATGAAAAACGACTTCAGTCCCTGAAGGCAAATTTTCAACTGAGTTTAAATGGGTTATTGGTAACCTAGCTTCATGCAAAACACTTCAATGACTCGAAGATGTCTTTCTTTTAAAGCTTTTGCTTCTGGATTTATAAATGAAGAATGCACTGAGGTTATCCTTTAGATTTAGCTGGCAAAAGATTTTGGGTGTACGGAGCTTGAACTTAAAATCCAACTTTCATAAAAAGTATCCTGTATAAGGGACTGACTTACGTTTTTCACTTCGAATGATAGGGACCCCTCGGTCTCGTCACCAGTACAGGCCCCCAAGTAGAAGCCAGCATTCTGTGTCGCACAAAATGCTTGTAACTTTATAAACGTTGTCACGTATGCATTTGGGAACAACATACTTTAATCTTCTTTTAATCAATTCCGACAATGCATACAGAAGACACATAAATGTACCATCATGTAATGGCTATTGTAGGTACCAAAAATGGAAGCTCTACAAGCGCGCTCCGGCCGATTAACCTCATCAATGCTGAAACAAATTAGAGAGACATCTCAGCTGAAATGCAGCTCTGCGGTATTCGAAGATATGTGTGAGTGCGAAACATCTACGCCTTGAGTACTTCCTTCGCTCTAAAAGAATAAGACTTCTACGCAAGGGAGTGTCTTGCATATGCGTACGGAGTGCGAAGGTTGAAACAACCGGTACGCGGAGGCATTGAAGTTGCCTCATACGTATACAATATCCGTGCGTCTTGCAACGAATACACCAGTAAAAGTGTCTAAGGTTGTGGTAGACCTGTAAGTATCTTAAAGACTTTGACATCGTCCCCGTTGAACAAAGTCGCGAGTAGAAGTGCCGAGAAGAATGACCAAGTCTTGTATAGATGTGATGGCCATGCGAGTTAGCACTACTGTGTGAAGAGCCCACAATGCAGCTTTACGGATAAATGGCGAGAAAGTTCATTCACTCGTGAACAGAGTGACCAGGGTGTCCTTGGGTTCGTAAGCATCCTCTCATTACCTCCGGCAAAAGATTGGAAGGAGTGGAGGAATCATGCCTCGGGAATGTGAGCATAAAATTTTAAGACGTCATGTCATTAAAATAGTAAGGTTGGTACTGAAGGAGAAGTGAAGCCGAAAGCTGTCTTTGATTTGAACACAACTTCATAATAATCATCGCTTCATAATAGTTCTTTCCTGCTGTATATTGTACAATACAAAAATCACGGTGCACGCTTTGCGAAATATAATTTATAATATTTTGAGAGCAAGGCTGTCGGATGGATAGTACCACTACACACTCGATTTTGTCAAAGCTGTGTGAGGAGATATGCAGCTGATCGATTGTGTCCTGACGTGTTGTCGACATCTGTACATATGTTAGAAATTTGAAATGGTAGTTTAAAGACTAAAAATTATTCAAATATACTCTAACACTGTTTCGAATTAGTACTAAGGATACATTGCGAGCTTAAGCAACCAAATTGAGCACAGCCTCCCAATATATTAGTATCGGGTCCATTACTATAAAATAACCGGCTATCCCCTATGGACCTGTGCTAGACATGTCGCTGCCCACGACTTTACGCATGTCGCTGCCCACGACTTTACGCATGTCGCTTGACAGGAAAACTTCTTTTTTTTAGTAAATGGTACGATGAATTTAATAGCACAGCAACATCTTAAGAACAGTATAGAAATATTAACTGATGATCTTTATAATAACATGGCAAAGACTTGAGTTAAGCACTATAAATGCTTGAACTATAAATCTTTCAAATTGTGGTAAGTGATACCTATACTATACTATACTATACTATCTTTCTATACTATATCTGCAATGCTAGCAAAGCTTCAACAATTACGTACATTTAATACTCACGAATCCCTTGAAGTTTCAAATATGCTAATTCCATCAAGTTTCATCCAGAATTTTGAGTAGTTCATTACAATTTCGAATTGTCGTGACGTGTGGGAATCGGCATTGTAACCATGTCGAACATACGGTGAAACTTGTGGATAGTCTTTGAGATCTCATTTGGATGGTGAAGCGATTTCTTACTTTCGTAGCACTTTCCAATTGCATTGGTAAAGAAATAGTATTGCTACGGAAGGATCAACATACTATTATGGTGCTTTTCAATATCATCATCTCCATCAGTCTGCTGGGTGCGACTCCTGCTACTTCCAATGAGATTCTTCCACAGATCAAGTCAGACGTGACGATTACGGACTCAAGTATTGCTCGTTTTTTCGACGAAAGTCGTTTTCAAAAGGCATTTCCACATGCCATTGATCTTTACAACTTTGACGGTCTCATAAACGCTTGCAAGAAATTTCCAGCTTTCGCTAATTCGGGCAATGACGTGAATGATAAGCGTGAATTAGCCGCTTTTTTGGCTCAAACAAGTTACGAAAGTGATAAATTTCAAGCAGCTGAGGAATATGCACGTGATTCGTATACTGAATGGCAGTATTGTGATAATACCACGTATCCATGCTCCCCTGGTCGTCACTATCATGGTCGTGGTCCCCTTCAACTCTCTTGGAATTACAATTATTTACTTGCTGGAAAAGCTCTTGATCTTGATTTACTTAATAATCCTGATCTTGTTGCGACTGATACGACTGTGACATGGATGACGGCGCTTTGGTTCTGGATGACTCCTCCAAGTAACTACGTCGTACATGATGTTGTTGCTGGAATGGATGGATTTGCACTCTCTACGAAATATATCAATGGTGGACTTGAATGTGGTGTCAATGCTCCGAATAGAGCAAATGAGCTTCACCGTATTGATCATTACAACAAAATGTGCGAATTGATGGATGTACAACCTCTAGGCAAGACTGCTTGTAATGACCTTTAGTTGATAAGAAGCGTTTGAAGACTTGAGTTGATAACGATAATCATAGATTGGAAGCTTCATTGAGCATAGATATCATCATGTCTACAATAAGGCTATGGTGCTGATCAAAACAACTAAATATTAGTCCGATCTCTCTATTGCCTAACACCCTTAAGTAGCGCTTTTGCTCGATTGCGTAAAGCAATCGAATCTTCTAATTGCCACTGCGTCGTCATTGCTACAGTTGGCAGTTTTTCGTGTGAAGTCTCTGATGCATTCAGGGCAGCATAGACTTCTCGCTGTTGTCTAATCATAGTCGTGTAATAGTCAAGAACCTTAAGCTCAGAACTTTGTGGTACCGACTGAGCTGTAGTTAATTGTCCACGTAGATCATTTAACTTCACAGAACAGAATGTTGTAAAAGATGCGTAACTTGTAAGAGATTCTCTAACCGTTTTTTGGTCTTCACAGCAATTGCATGACTTTGCTAACCACAATTGAGTTTGAGCTTGTTGTATGACCGACATTGGTATCTTCCATTTCTGTCGACAATTAAATTGATAGATATCTGATTGCTTTTGATGTCTAGCACCTCGTGTGTGTTGAATGATTTTCTGTACAACATTAGCCGGAATCTCATCTACGACTCTTTGACTTTTACATACTTGTGGTTTACTCATTCTTTTGGTCAATGAACCAGCTCGAAGGTGTTGAATCTTTTTAAAACACCACCTTTCAACTGAAGATGCAAGAGAGTTTTCCATCGTGTCATGGGATTTCTCATCTTCCAGATACTCGGCATTTCCTTCTTGCTGCACTGTCATCGAAAACTCTTGCTCGTCTTCTTCAAAAGATTCGTCTTCATACTCATCATCTTCCACCTTTTCCTTCTGCTTCTCAATTGAAGCTTCTTGATCGTTTTCAAACATCTCAAATGTGTACTTTTCATAGCTACTTGAATCACAAGCAGCTACTGCCACGACAGTTCGTTCGTCAAGACTCTCGGATTCAAATTCTTCCTTATAACTCTCGTTCGAGTCGTCGCTTTTCATCTGCTGCTCATCATTAAGTTCCAATAATGAGGAGATTGTTGATGATATAGAAGATGGCATTGACTCAGATAAACGAGAAGATGACCCGTCGCTAAGAAAGATTTCAATACTTTATTAAGCTTTGGTATCAATAACTTTGCCAATTATTTCGAAGATTGTGGTCGAAAAATTGAAAAGATTCCGTCATGAGCCTCTGTTGATTCTTGTCGTTGCTTAGCCATAAATTCCTTAACTGTTGTGAGACTTGAAGAAAAGGATGGTGTTTTTTTCCGCTCTTTCTTTCCTTTCTTGTTCTCTTCGTATTCTAATACAAGCGAACGCTTGGACTTCGTGTCAGACAAAGTCGAATCTTCAACCTGATCATAATCTTTTAGTGGCAATTCAATCCGATTGCGCTGGAAAAACTCGTGAAACATTGGAACACACATTTCAGAGTGTTCGTATTCTTGAATATACAGTCGCAACCACTTGGAAAGAGAATGATTATGTTTATTAAATCGATGTCTTGAATCCAACAATATAATTGCACCATAATCCTCACGATGACGAATACAACGTCCAAGTGCTTGATTCAATGCTCGAAATGCTTGTAGATCGTACCATTTGTTCCCATTCACAAGATTAAGATTCAATCGACTCTTTTCATCTTGATATTTGCGTTTTAAACACACTTGAAGCTCTTTTACACTTGGGTATGGAATCCCTACGCAAAGAACAGCTCGAGCATTGTCATTGGAAAAATCAATGCCTTCGCTCACTTTACCACGATAAACAGCGAGAAAGATCGCTCCAGTCTTTTTCGAATCTATTTCACTAGAAAGCTTACACTTTGTGATCGTATCTCTATACTCAACCAATGACACCTCAAAGTCTTTGCCAGTATTTCGTGGTTCAATATAAATCGTTTTCACTTTTTCAATCTCGTTCCATAATTTTGTCGTTTTCCAACGTGTCGTGAGTTTATGTAGCAGCGAATATGATGGAAAAAACATGAGAATTCCTCCTGGAATTGATTGCGAGTATTGATAAAGCAATTGACCCATCGAATCTTGATACTTTGGATCTTGCTGATTCGTATATGTTGACTTGAGATCGATATTACCTGGTCCACGCATTATCGCACCAATAAACACTTGTTTACGCATATTCACAACGTGACTTGCTTCAAGACGAATTGGAAAGTCTGTGCCTAATTCCCCAGCAAATGAATCCATGGGACTTAATGTTCCAGATGTCAGAATGACACTACGGGCTTTTGAAGCCAAATCAGAGAATGCTACAGCAGCATTAAGACACCAGATACAAAATTTCAATTCGCTTGTTTCGCTTTGATTTCGTTTTGTTGGAGATCGAAAACTTGTCGTCTCGAAACTTTGAATGACAACAAGTTTGAAATCGTCAATATACTTGAGATCATCGCGAAACATGTACTCAATGACATTTATGATGCTTTGGATAGTAGTTAATGCCAACGCTCCCAACAAAATTGATGCCCCTGTTAGATTTGCGGCAGCATCTCGAGATGTTTGTGTTTGAGGCTTATTGGATTCTTCATTTGAACTTAATTCCATTTCATACTCTCGAACTTCTTCGACACTTGCTTTAATCTCATCAAATGTTTCTCTTGTTATTCCTGCGTACTCTGCAAGCATTGCAAGAGCTTCTGAACCATCCCAAACTCGATTTTTTCCATGATCATTAGACGTTTGAAGAATCTTTGCAGCATTTCCATCAATTCTTTCTAACCATCGATTGATACCATTTAAGACTTTCAGCAATATATTGTACCACTTTGGTCGATCTCCATGTTTAATTACCATCATAAACGCTTTGATAGATGCAAGCAGAACGTCATGCGTCACTTCGACGCTAGCGCTTGAACGACATGTATCTTCGACATTATGAGCTTCATCCAATACAATAATTGCATCTTTGATCACAATACCCATAGCATTTCGAATTGTTGGATCCAATAAATAATTGTATGGTGCAAACACAATATTTGCATGTATCAGTGCATCTCGTGAATGAAAATATGCACATTCCCGATGTTTTTGTGCCAATGCCACAATTTCTTCAATGTCCCATACAAATGGTGCAACTCGTTTTAAATCGTTCGTTTGTTTACGTTTACGAAAATACGAACACGACGAATGATCCAGAGCCACACGACATTGTTCATCGACTTGAAAAGGATCACGATTATACTTGCGATTAACACATAGATTACGCTTTGAACCAAGTACACACGTTTGAAATTTATTGCTTGTGTCATCTGGTGACACTAGGTATGACATTGGACAGGTTTTCAATTCCTTCACAACTTGTGTCAATTGCGAATGGGTGCGCGAGCAAAAGAAAATACGTGGAGTGGCAACCCGCAACTTTGTCACATTTTCAGTTGCATTTTCACTTGCAAGTGATGCAAATGATGCTGGCAACAAACGTTTGTGGTGACTTTGATTTGTGTCGTCGGGATCTCGCGTGTGTATCCAATTACTACGTTGGGTAGGTGGTACATCATCTTGAGTGATATCGTGAAGTGTTTGTTCTTGAGTCGCTTGAGTCAAATCGTCTGATTGAATTATTAATTGAGGTTGTTGCCTTACTTGTTGCGCCATTGCCACTTGTTCCTGAGCCATGAGAATTTCCACTTGCGTTTCAATGGCTTTTAATTGTGCCTTTTGAGTTTCTTTTGTGATTATTTTTTGAAGATATTCTGGATCTTGCAACTTTTGCAATTGCTCCGCCATTTTGTCCTTGACAATTTGCCTTTGAAATGTTAAGGATGAACACAATAATGCCAGTGTCTTGCCCGACCCTGTTGGCGACTCAAGCAGTGCATGTTGCTCCGTCTTAAGCGCCGTAAGCACTTTGCTCATTACTGCAAATTGTGCTGGAAATGGACGCTTTCCAGGTGGAAACTCAACGTTGTAGCCCATGATCACGTATTGGTTCTCCGTTGGCGTCATAATTGCGCAAAATGGATCAAATAAATATGTGCGAAAATAAAATGGGCAATGACGTTATTCGTCAACCAAATACCAATTCTTACACCTCGAGATCCCACAAATGGCGTAATATTGCCATGTTTTTCTTTCCCGCCAATAATATTGCGTCATTTCAGAGGTGAATGAGCAATACATTCGAACAATTGCATTCGTTTTGTACTCCATTGCGTCGCTAAAAACATAATAATGTGTACAATAATTGTATCAGAGCACCAATAAGTGTCATAGACAATTAAATAATAGCAGATAAGATACTGTAAATTTCATTCGTGACAGACTAGATATGGAGTATAACTCTAATTAGCGCTACTATATACTACTACTTTTCAAATCTGATGTGTCGCCACATCAGTGCAAGGAAACTGATTCATCAAGAAGCTGTATCTAGTGGAGTACGGCAGAGAAAGACGTCGACGAAAAGTCCTTTCGACATTGTGTGATTGATTGATTGCAGTGACAGCTTATGGTGCTTCTTGCACCTTCAAGTGGAGATCATTATGAGCCTATTGTGCTTACGAAAGCCGAACGTCGTGAGCGATACATGCAAAAGACGCGTACCGAGGCTGGGTATCTGTTTAAATACCTCATTTTGACTCAAATTATTGTCTATTTGGAAGCTGGTTCGATTCCATGTTTACTTGATCAACTAAGTGTATCCCTTCATCTTGATGCTACACAACAAGGTGCGCTTGGGGGCGTTGTATACCTCGCATTAAGTGCAGCGTCACCACTTTGCGCGTTTTTCCTCCATCGATTTAATCCACGTATGGTCTTAGGCCTCAGTCTTTTGGGGAATAGTATTGCAGTGCTTATGTTGGCATTAACCCCGACAGGGTATACATTTAGTGCCAATATGTTGATCATAGCTCGAGCTGCTGTGGGGTTTACACAAGCTTTTCCATGCATTTACACACCACTTTGGGTCGATGAATATGCTCCACGTGAAAAAGTTGCAGGCTGGATGAGTTATTTACAAGGAAGTGTACCCATGGGTGTAATGTTTGGGTACTTTGCAGGCACAGTGAGCAATTGGGTCGTTCCTGAAACGTTTGCACTCATTGAAACATGGCGATGGCCATTTCTACTTCAATTTGTCGCGTTATTACCTATGAATGTTGCAATTTTCTTTGTACCACAGCGACATTTGATCATTCGAAGTGATTTGGATCGAAATACCGGAGAAAGTGGAAGTTCGGAGAGTGCTAGTGCTAGTTCATCGGAGAGTTGTACAGATGATGTACCCTCGAGGTTAAAAAGTATGAATCAAATTGAGAATGAAGAAGATGAAGTTTCTATTGATAGTGAAGTGGAGCCGCTTCATAGTCGTGAGAATTCTCGAACTGCTCGAAATCGAACGACGTTTGGTCTGCAAGTTGGTACTCCAATCAGTACTCGATCGACAACGTATCACGACGAAGAAGACGCTTTGCTAGCTAGTGCTAGTATGTATGGCGTGAGCAGTCAACGTAGTGTTCGTCAGCTACATCAGAACCAGCATCAATATCATTTTGGTCATTGTGAAGATGACTCAGGCGCTTCCTCCCTTCGTCGAAGTATGATCCGACCCCCGAGCATACGTGGTTCTTCATTATTAGAGAATGAAGGAGAGACTGGCAAGTCATCATTGCCAAGTAATGTTTCACTCGCTATAAATCGAGCTGAGCCTGCTCATTCATTACCAGTATCCAAGACTGTATCCTCAACGTACGGTGCTTTGGATACAGCCATTACGCCCATAAGATCGCCACGATTGAGCCTTTTAGAGGCTTCAATTCTTGAAGAAGACTTTATTGAAGTGTACGAACAGGGTGCGTTTTCAGAAGGAGTGTACGAATTGCTACATATTCCCGTCTTCTGTCTGATTGTCTTTGGCCTCACGACCGTCTACTTTGTCGTCACGGGGGTTCAATATTGGAGCACGATCTTTATGATCAAATCTCTCCATGCGTCCAAGTATTTAGTAAATGGACTCTTTGTCATCGTGTCAGGAACTGGACCAATTCTAGGTGTGTTCTACGGTGGCTGGCTCATTGATCGATACGGTGGATACATTGGTGTTGAACAGCGTGCCAAAGCCCTTGGACTTTGTATGATCCTAGGACTCACTGCTTTTGCTATCTCTGCAGTGACGACTTTCTTCAATGACATTTACGTCACTGCAGGGTTTCTTTGGCTTTTGCTCTTCTTTGGTGGTGCAATTCTACCAGCTTGCACTGGCATTTTCATATCTGTTGTACCAGCAGAACATCGCGCTCTTGCCTCGTCATTTTCTGTCATGATTTTTAATCTGTTTGGCTATGCCTTGTCTCCGTATCTCACGGGTTTGATCATGGAGTGGGTCATTTCACAACAAGGACAAACTAAGACGTACTTTGAATTTTGTGATGAAGCATGTGCCTATCGCATTGGCTTTCGCTTCTGTCTCTGCTGGTCAGTCTGGTCGGTTCTCTGCATTGGTTCAGCGTGGCATCTCGCGTCTCGAGAGGCTAATGAAGCGCGTCAGGTGCAGCAATTCTATGCGGCGCAACGGCTTGAAAATGAAGATTGACATAAAGTTAAGAGTCTAATGCAATCGTTTCAGGAAGTGGTATCGAGCAATTATTCGGTCACTGTAGTAAAAAATAGGTAAGACCAGAAGTAAATGTCAAAAACTGTTTAGAACATCCCATTATTCACCCTAGACTATCACAGAGCAGTCCCGAGACGGTCCACCGTAAGGGAACGAAACTTGTCGAGGGCGTCACACCAATTTTGGACAGACAGTTGAAACTTTTCCTCTGGTTTTCGATTCAATAGCACCAGAGTGTGATTTACTTGGTCGATCCGCGCTTCAATTTTTTTGTCCAGTACGAGAGCAGAAAGCAACGATTCAACTTCTGATAAAGAGATTCCATTAAGCTCCCGCGCAATGTACTGGGTATCCATTGTTCGATAGGGTTTCACAATCTTAAGCAAGACTTTGCTGCGAATAGTTCTCAATAGACTATCAATGTAGTGCTTGATAAACGGATCGTCCATGATTGCTTCCTGATTTTGAGTCAGCACTTGCTCAAAAGTCTTGATCTCATCATGCAGAAATGCGTCTGTCAATTTCGTCATTGCAACAATTTCTTTGTCGTTTTCATAAGGTTTGGCTTCTTGCGAGTCAAAGACATTGACTTGACTCTCACTCAACATATTAGCTAGAACGAGGTATTTAAGACACTGTAGTCGACGTGGCTCACCAGCTTCATCGTAGCTTTTAAAACCAGAGAAAAAGTCACTTCGAGCTTTATCCCATTCCCGCTGCATCATGTACATTTTACCGCCACATTCGTGAATCACCCCAATAATTTTCTAATTATGTTCAATATGATGTGAGAGAAATAGTATCAGTGATATCCTCTTTGTTAACTTACAGGATGTGCTACGCCAGACTTGGTACGTAAAGCTTTTTCATATATTGACACAAGTTTCTTGTTGTCTTTCTGCGCTGTATACATTTGAATCTGTAACGCATAGACTTCTAGCAACTAGAGTATCACAATATCTTGTCAACATAGTAAATAGTCTCATTTCCTCTATTTTCTGACCTGTGAATTTCTTCTTACACCATCATCTGCATCTCCTTCGCTACATGAAGCCAGTAATTCCTTAATAATCTACACAAATTGGTCAATACAACGAAGATAACTATCAATATTCTTCATACCTTTCTAAGTCTCGTAAAGTCTCCAATCTCGTACAACAAATTGCCTAATTTTACACTCGTTTTGAACCATAATCTCTATATTGATACAATTACATAAGCATTCATTTAATATCAACGATCAAGAGAAATATATCACTCATTCACCTCATTCCGTGCCTCCTTCAGCGTCTCTAATGTTGTCTCATAGAATTGCTGCAGAATCTCCCAATTCTATCATATAAAGTATTATATTTGACACTCGATCTTATATCACTCATATTTTCAAAACTCATACCTTGCTAGTCGAGACGAAATCTAAAATACTATTAATTCCTTTCTCTCCCACATTACGTGTCACTGCTGTCTTTGTGTAGCCCAGTAACTCTTCGTACCTCCGCATAGCTTCATCATGACGTTGTAATTCAAACAAAAGCTTGACAATTCGTTTAAGCGCTTTAAAACCCCAGTCAGTCTCTCCATTCTGTAATGTCAACACCTTCGCAAGTGCATCCACTGCCTCTTGTCGATGAGGTTGGTCACCTTCTAGCAATTGTTTTGCTGAGTAATAAACATTTTCAATTTGCACGTATAAATCGGCAGTTTCAGCGTCTTCCATGTCTTCATCTTCATCGCTGTAATCAAAGTCATACTCTTCCTCGTCCGACATGGTGCTAATTATTAGACAAGGTGAAAATAAGTCGAGGATCGAGGATAACTCAAGGGATATGGTTTGTTATATCAGTACACTCTGTAAAAATTAAAATTTAACTTTTGCTGATCAAGTAATAGAATTTGACAATATTTGGCATGAAATTAGTAAATTCTCATTAACATTTTGAGCTGTCGTTTTGGCAGATCATACGGCCGATAAGATAAAAAAGTGAACTCAGAACTCGAAATGAAAACTTTCCTTGTTCTCGTTCTGAGGGTCATAAACAACTGACAAATATAATATAGAGTATAGTATGGCCAAATGGGGGACTGGTTGGTCGTAAGCTGCAACGGGGTTGCCGCGCGCTTTGACACAAAGTTCCGCGTTGACAAAGCATTTGAAAAGCGCCAGGAGAGAGCGGAACGAGATTCTTCACCTTAACAAGGTTTCTGGTCAGTGGTTGCTCTACAATATCGAAAGTTGTCTGGACTCTTTATTAACCCTAAGAAGACTGACAGCTAGAATATACGTTTTTCTCATGATTAAAGCTGTCTTTATTACTTGAATTGTGGCTAGCAGCTCACGTGTACCATGAACACTCTCATTTACATAGTCTTATCATCCGCATTAATACCGACAAATAGACTTTCAGTTACAGAAAAATGCAATGTGAATTTCGTGCAGTTGTGAAACAATGTATCTTTTTGCACATTTGTACAGATGTGTGAGTGCATACTCACATTATACAATACTTGCCTTGTTACACCCGTCCTTATCGAGATATGGATCATAGTAGGGCTCACACTCTTTTTTGCTCTTTTTAAGACATTGCGCAAATGTGAGCGTTCCACCGCGCTTGGGATCAACTCCGACTTTTCTGTGCCTACCTCACAAAAAAAATATACTTGTCTCTGGGGTTCCCGAACATGCGTGTTGTTTCAGATGGCTCGAAGACGTTTCGGAAAAGGCGCGTCCTCCTCGACAAACGGATCTGATACAATTTTCCATGGGGATGCTGTGGTGCTCTTCGATGAGAATAGTCGTAGTGACTCTCCGAGTCTTGACTAGATACCCTTGCCCTCACTAATCCCAGCCTTCTTGCTGCACAAGTGTCAAATTCCACCGGCGGGAAGTGTTGCGTAGTGCACACCGTGCTCTGAAAATCAGGAATATATACACTCGTCACCAACGATCTGGACCTGGCTCTGGGGATGCTTTCTCATCTGCAAGCACGAATGATGTGGAAATTTCTAAGGTTTTCGGCAACTCTTGTCATAATCATCACGTAACTGGTTAAATAAGCTAAAGATGCTTGCTGCGCTGGACCGGAGCCCATATACACCTATGCGTACTGAATCTTTTGTTCACACCGAGTAAAAAACGAGTGCGAGAAAGTTGCCCACGAGCACCTCTCACCTCACAGGTCCTCACTCTGAAGTACCACGGGAGCTTATAGCAGCGGCTGTCTAAAAAAAGCATCCTCCATGAAGGATGAATTGTGCGTACTGGGTTGGGGGCGGCGATAAAGCAGATGAGCATCGTACTTAACTCGCGCATCGAGTGTGGGAAAGTGCCAGCTTACATTTTTTAGGGCTTGGCAAACCAGCTTCAGTGAGACCGAAATTCGACAATAACGTAACCTCATGCTTGAAGTTGACTGGCACTGAGAAACTGCTCGAAGATCTTAAAACATCTAGAAAATGAACGATCGTCAACGCCAAGATCACAATCATCTGATTTGGCTGAAGCTTATCTAATGGCGTGCTCTGCCTCGCCTCGCAATTGCTGAAATTAGGTGACTAAGTCTAATACGACTAATGACAATATTATAGCCAGAAGGGTCTGTGCATATGCACATTGCGATCCCTGTAGATGCATGAACAGACTTTGGAGCGTGACTGGCTTTGAAACAGCTAGCAGAACAGAACTCCACCCCTTAAGCACCCCGATCGAGCTTTTTGCTGCAGTGAAGGTAGTCACTTTTTTCATTAGAATTTGGTGATATTAGCTGACTAAGTCGAGTGAGTTGTGAAGGATACCGCCTAGGATGCACGTATCCAGCGCACACAACTTTAGGATTGGCGATTTTGCTATATTAATCATACTAAACGCATGGAAATTCGCCATCCTTCATTAAGGTCTCAGATACTAAGATTATCATCGAGCTGGAAGATTTTCTTTCACTCAGTCTACCTGTTTCGTGCATTGCACAGAAAAGGAATTTATAATATGGTACGGTTCCTCTATAAAGGACAATTAGCGTGATTCGCAATATGAATTTCATGATTTTGGTTAATCTTATAACAAACTCATCGGTGTTGCCAATCAAGTGCTAGACTAGTTGCAGAAATCATCAGCGACATCTAGCAAAGCACCACTTGAGGTGGGTCTTTTGTACCCACGACATCATATTTCTTTGGAAGGAATATCAAGTCCCTGAGAAAAACCGAAATGCCGTCATAACGTCATAAAAAATTATCTTCTTCTCCTTCACTATCATGTAACATCGCTGTCGGGCAATTTCTTGCTAGCATCCCAAATGGTTATCTATCAAGATCGACGAGATAATCTATTTAAGCAAGAGACGACAGTAAATATTCCCAAGCAGTATTCTCCCAATCAATCCACGAGTGTTTTTGATCAATTGCCCCGATCCCGAAAAGCTTTCATGGGGCGCTGCACGCGATGATGCTACTTCAGCTACACTGATTGTACGACAAAGGATGGGTCATCATTTTTATCACCGGGGTTGGTTCTTCCACTTGTGACTCACAGTAGCCTATCTCTAGCGAGGTTTACCTTAGAATACATAAGGTTAGAGTCGCCCTTTCCCTTCTCAATGAGGACATTTTAAGGACCCTGCGATTTGGTGACCTTCCTCTATCCCGAAAGGATCAACTTTCGCAGACATAGTTCAAAGCAGTTGCTCTCGCTTTCTAAACTACGGCAAGCTTATGGGAATATAAGTGTAAAGTATTAAGAATCTTTTGTCTGGTATGAATGGTATCAAGTCGCACCAAAAAGCTTGTGCTTTCTGGTAGACATGGGACACAATTTTTCAAAGCCCAACAGGTGGGACGCGGAAGTACCTAATTTTCGATTCTCATATTGCTGGTGACGTTCTAGCCAGGTCGTACCAAGGATAACAATTCGTATTGTATACAATCTAACTTCAACTAATTTTCGAAGTATCACCGTATTTGAGACTTTTTTACCCTTATGGTTTATGGAACATTCGACACCTGCACGAATGCCAATTTCGCAGGACGCACGGATAGTGCATCAATACTCGATGTCTTTGCATTATCCTCAGTAAAATTTTATTTACGGTAGTGGGTCGGATAAGAAATAAGCTGTGCTTATTTGGGCAATCTCAGCTCGCTGCCCGGGGCACAAAGACTCAATACTAAGCTACATCTGTATGTGGGGCACGGCAAAGCGACCCCTGCGTATCTGGTAGCATTAATCATCAGTTCAACAACCAAATCCAAATACTCAGAATTATGTTGGTCCCGAATAAATTGCGCAATTAGAAGACCAAGGGCTGAAATTTTAATCAGTCGTGTAATTACGCCATAAATACTTCCCTGGGATAGCCTTAGGACTACAATCGGCTCCTACATTAAGCCGTCTTGGGTCAGAGACGTTATGAATCTCTCTGGATGATAAAGAGTGAGATGGATATGACTTCGGACATGATTCACATGGAGCAATAGAGCGACAATGTGCGGTGCCTTTGTTACAAAAGCACTACTTATGAAGGAAAGAAATGAAGCGACATATGTCGCAAATCAAACCAGGCGTATCGCGTGAAGTCCAATTTTCGTTCTCTCTGTCGTCATGCTTTGTTGCAAGTAACGGACGGCGTGCGAGATATTGAGGCTCTACTAGCACATTAAGAGCAAACAAACTCACCCAAGCGGAGGAGAAAAAGAGTAATATCACAGCTGCTGTCCGGTATCTATTACTTGTAAATGCTGTACCTGTGACATTACATCGTCCTGTATACCCTTCGCGTACAATTGGGAGATTATGGAGTCTTGTCTAGCTCAGCGCCTTCCAACGACCTTTCGCATCATGATACGAGTCCAAGTAGACAACCGTGCGCCTACGAAAAAGAAAACGGTTGTATTGAGCCACGTCAAGTTAAAAGAATTTAGCCCAAAGGTAGCCGCTATCTCATACTAAACCACTGCTGTGGGTTGTCGTCATTAGCGTCTCCAACTTCGTGAATTGGTAAAAAGTTCTGATAGATTAAAAATTATCTTTCAACTTCAAATAACGCTCAGACGTTGATTACTGTTGATATACGATGAGGAGTTGAAGATGCTGGATATGTATACCTAGGCATACTGCGAAGGAATCACTGATTATGCATATAGCTCTCTCTTAGATATTTTGTGAAATTCGAACTCTTTGATAGTGTCGGAAGTTCACAAGATTAAGCCTGAATTCAAAGACTGATCGAACTCTTGGTATGGTATGGGCGAAACGCCATGGGTAAAGGAGTAACTGTAAGTGGTTGCCACGTATTTATCTTCAAGTGAAGATTTGGTGAGTCATGAGCCTACTAGCTGTAGCTCTTTCGGCGCGGGCATGTAGCTTTAACTGCTTTGATAGAGGACGTAAAAATGTCAAAAGTGATTACCATCAGCAATGCAAAGTACTTTGAACTAAGTCCGAGGGTAGAAGCGGTGGTTTGCTGCGACCTTTAGTAGCTAGTCCATATCGCACTGTTGATAATGTATCACTAACGTGGCGATTGAATACTGTTATATGTAAGAATCTCCAAAGATTGGCTCTGATGGAACGTAGTAGAACATATATATGTTTTTGTATCAGTATTTATCCGGTAGAGACGAGTCAGACCGTCTTGGTGCGGCGACCTTCAGACAAAAACGGTGAAGACAGGCGACTTTAAGCCTCGGGTAGAATGGTAGACCCAAAGCGTATGAAGAATGGACATCATTGCCACGATGAAACAGAACCGGCGAGTTACCAACAGTATGTGGCACGTTGCCCGTGTGGAGCAGTGAAACTCTGCGGGTTTTTGGAATGAAAATGTCTGCATCATACGCGAAGGGTTGGCCAGAAAGGTTAAGAAAAGTGAGTAACTTCTTCACTTCCGCTGGCAAAATCATACGTTGAGCGTAAAAGTTTTAACAAAAATGCAAGATTTCGCAAGACGTTGATATCAACGAGCTAGTATGGTTCGTATCAAAGGAGAAACTAAGATCATCATTCGCCACGGAAAATCCACGTTCGCGAACTAATATTTAAAAACGTAAGTGCAAAAAGTAGAGATGATATCTGCAAGGCTTCGTTGTATCTTTCGTATCTTTGGTTGAAGGGGTATCACCATGTGGCGAGAGAAGATACTATCACGCGACTTGTTTCCTAATAAGGGAGTCCGTCATGGAGCTGACCCACGCCTAACATCATGCGTAATACGTTAGTGCCCTTAACAAGGGAATAGGTGGATCAGCTTAATGTGGCGACACCACGTCCGTTTGCATTGCTTACGACTATAATCTATCGCATATCTCGATGGGAACGTATCGCATCAATGAATAATACATAGAAGCTAAGAATCCGATGCAACGTATGCTACGTTCCCAAGCGTTTTGCTTTGGCAAGAACTTTCAAACCCAGCTTCCGCATTGTCAAGACATCGGCTAGATGCATGCATCAAGATTTCTAGTGAAGAGCTTGATTTTTACAGAACTGACTCGCTGACGCTCTACTCACGGTGGTGCCTAATATCAAGGATCCCAAATAGAGAATACTATACGAACATTATCACATATCACTGGATCGCCGCCCTAAAACAAAACGACATACAGCTCAGCTTTGAGTCTATCATGTAAAAGGCGGTATGCTCTTATGCTCACACGTGTGACGTGGCAAAGGGTTCAACCCTTGTTGCGCTCGTCGGCGCCTTTGGCCTGTCTACCGGTCCGGTCAAATTACTGACGCTCCATTAGTCTGGAAGATTGGACCCCAAAAGTCGGGTCCTGTCGCACCACTAATGTGATTTTTGTGAATCGTATCAGCTGATTGTCTCGACGTGCTGTTGCCAGCGACACCAATAATAGTTAAGGTATAGCAAATTTGGTTCTCAACTAAACTATATAACTTTGTTTAGCGCGCCGGGTACTATGTTAGATGTGATCATCGCTATCCCTCGACAGTGAGACGATAAGACGTGAATATCGCGGTATTGTATACTTTGAAATTTTGCCCGCATTGTGAGCGGTACTTTGATTTAATAGCTTTGGCTCATCGAGTTCGCGTACGATAATGCTGTACATTCCTAATAGGCTTCACCCCTTTCAATGAATGGTTTGATAAACTTTGTCTTCCTTTAAGACTGCCGCGGTGTGGATCTTGCCTCCATGGTACTGTCAGAACGGATGTTCCTGCTGGATTCAGTCCGGGTACACATTTGAGCAAAATCACAAAGTTATCTTGGTATGATTGAGAACCATGCCTTAAGTGCGCGACAACTTGACTGCAACAGTGAAATGCAGATGCCAGAAACAGGAGGAATATACATATATATGCAACGGTCCAACGGATCATATCAAATGCTGCCAGCCTACCTAATCATCCAGTGTATTTGGTCATTAAAAATGAAGCGTGACTCCGCTACATGAGACCGTCTCGGTCGTAGCAATTTAAATATGATTGTTACTCCTAACACCCCAAAGAGATTGCGAGCTCATCAAGTTTTTACATGGGCTTGATCAAGCTATACAATGATTGTGTTCCTACGATCCTCATGGATGAGAAGTGAATTGCTTAAGACGTGAGATTGTCTATACCATCCCCTGTAGCTGAGCTACCCTCTATTCTAGCGGTCTTGAACCGTATGAGGCGCCGAAAGCTACTTTGTGCGGTTGTATAGCCTAGATTGCGCAATTTGAAACGTGATCCAACATTATCGACCGCATGCCGTGCCTATTCGGGCGAGTTGATCTGTCTTCATCACTTTGTGTGGTCACGAGAACTAGTTGCGGACATTTGGTCCTCCGCGCGATTCTGCTTGACGAGCAAGGGGCGGACCACACCGTGAAACGGATGGTAGTTCCGAGGGCACAAGCGCTGCTATCAGTAAGTATTTATATTAGGGAAGGTTCAAACTCCACTTTGGCAAGAATGTCCTGTCACAGTTGCCGCACACGACCTGTCGAACAACCCCATTGACTTTTCAATTGAGAAGACACGGTTGCCAAGCGGGACGTGCTTCCCACTATTGCGTTATGTTTGTCTTTGTACCAACACCAAAAATTGGCCGCAGGCTGCTCGTGTGTACGTACAGAGCCGTTCGTAGCAAGGGATAATGCTGCTTTACTCTACCTCGACGTCCAAGTCGTGCGCTCTAATTCGCAAATTAAATATCAAACACCGATCCAGTCCGACTTCATTTATGCTTGAAATGACTAGAAAGCTGTGAGATTGGTGAAACGACGTGTCATCTTCAATTGAAGCACAGAATAAGCACCTTAGCAATTGGAGTTTCGCGAGTGTCCGGTACCAAGATACGTTGAGTTAGGAAGGCATGAATTTATCGACTAAGGCTTCGCTAGACCCAGGCAGTACCGCATGGACAAGGTGACATCAGGAGTAGAACGGGTCCATGGGATAATTTTGAGCGGAGACGAAATTCATAATTGCGATGTGATTATATGCTGCAAATGTTGCTCTTACGCTTGCAGCCGTAGTGACTTTCGTGGCGAAGTTACGCAGCATCCTTCGCCGCAACGACGTGCACGGAGTGCGCAGCTCGTGCAATGGAGAGTCGGTGCGTT